TGAGCATATGGGTTGTCATATGTGTTTGTTTACTAGGGATGCCGTAACAAAATGCCACAGACTAGGTGGCTTAAACAACAGAAATTTATTTCCTCACAATTCTGGAGACCAGAAGTCTATAATCAAGGTGTTGGCAGGGTTGGTTTCTTCTGAGATCTCTCTCCTTGGCTCGTAGATGGCTGTCTTCTCCCCTGTGTCTTCAGAGGGTCTTCTTCCCACTATGTTTGTCTGTGTCCTAATCTCTTTTTGTAGGGACACCAGTCATTGGATTAGGGCCCACCCTAAGGACTTCCTTTTAACACAATTACCTCTTTAAGGCCCTATCTTCAAGTACAGTCTTGTCCTGAGGTGATGGGGGTTAGGATTTCAGCATAGGAATGTGTGTGTGGGCGTATAACTCAGCCCATAATATCATGTAAGACTAGGTAAAAAGAAGCCTATTGAGCCACAAATACAAACTTTAACTAAGATGTATCTGTTCAAACTCCCACTATGTGTTTTACCAGCTGCATGTACTTTAGCAACTCACTTAACCTAACTTCAGTTCTAATTAAACATGGAATAGTCATCCCTGTCCCAAAAGATGGTTGTGAGAATTGTGTCTAATTAATTAATAATTACTACAATGAATAGGTATATATACATGTCTAGCACAGCATCTGGCTTATAGTAATCACTCAATAGAAGGGAGGCAGTTTCCTTATTACCTTTTCCTCTTGAATGTGGATCTGGACTTCAGTGCATTGGGAATAAGATCAGTAAGTCAGTTAATATTATTAACATAAAGGGAAAGAAATGAGCATTATTGAACAACTACAATGTATTGTACTCTTATGCACATAGTAGGCCAAAGTTTGTTTTTTGCATAAGGCCTGTAGATTCATTCATTCATTCCACAGTATTTACTGTGCGTGCAGTATGTACCAGGTATAGAAAACCGTGTTCTCACCTACTGTGTGGCAAGGGCCCTTCTCACTGCTATACTCACAGTCCTCTTTTTTTCTTGCAATGGATTCCCTGGTATTGGGGAATTTCTTCAGGACTCAGAATTTAGAAAGTGTCCCAAGTTGAATTACTATTGTTGCAATCAAAATTTTTTCTGCGGTCTTCAGAAACAGCCTTACCTGTGTTCAGGAGCTGCTGTGTGGTATCGCTCTGCTGGTCCACATTACTAATTCAACTATTGCAGCAATTACATGAAGAAATTACTGCCAGTGATAAAAGCCATTATGCCATCCCTGAACAGAATGCATTCCACACAGCATTCATTAATTACGCCAGCCTATAGAGTCACAACCACCAAGTCGTACTCTTGAGACCATACGCCATATGCATTGGAACTCTCGCAAAGCCACAGTGCATTTCTGTGTTGGCTTGTACTCTTGCATTGCCCACCCTTTACTACAGCCCTTCTCCTGTGCTTCTGATTCTCACAACTGAAATTAAAGTCAGAATAGAGTCAGGCTGCACAATGTCATTTATATGGCTGGGTTAGACTTGAGCCTCCTGGAACCACCTTGGGTTACTCAGCTTCGCAGAAGACCCCCGCAGATTGTCTGGACTCAGAGCCATTCACAGCTACTTAAGGGTTAAAAATTCTCTATTTGACAGCATGCCCTCTTTAGAGAAAAGAAATAGTAATAATGATGGGAGATGGGACACAATGATGAATCTTTGATGTCTTTGTTCATGGGTTTTCTTATCTCTTTCTTTCCCCCACCCTGTTATTTTTTCTTTGACATGAACAGCCAACATCAGATGACCTTGTTTCATCTGCTGAATGTTCAAGTGATGATGAAGACTTCGTTGAATGTGAGCCCAGTACAGGTAGGTCAGGTCAGTCTTGTTTTGCTTGCTTTCTTTTTTCTTTTGCAAAAAACAATACATACATATATGTGATTATACATGTGTTTTATATATATTATGGTATGTTAATGTGTGTATATTTTCTGTATATATGTA